CTCTAGAGATGTATACAGAAGCATTTGAGATTTCTCCTATTAGGAATCTGTAAATGGCTACTTTTTACCTCAATAAACCACTGTTCCTTGGTTTCCTCTTTTGTAAGACAGCACCTTCCTCATAGTAAGAGAATTAATAGAAGAATGCCTTGCACCAGGCACTCAATAGTGTAACCTATTGCAAATTAATTCACTTTAAATCTTCCCATTGCTTTTTTCTTTCTCTTCGAGGATAACTTTTATTGAAATGTAATATGCATGCAGACGTGCATGTAAGTATACAGTTTAATAAATTTTCACAAACTGAACACACCCTTGAGGCCTCTGCCCAGATTAAGAGTCAGAACATTCCCCCACACTTAAGAGCTCCTTTTATACTTGCACCCCACACCCTACACTCAGCTAACAGTAATGTTAATCTAACAACATTTGCTTTGCCATTTGTAAAACATTTATTGTGGTAAAACATATATACAACTTAGCATCTTAATCTTTTTTTTTTTTTTTTTGAGACAGAGTCGCTCTGTTGCCAGGCTGGAGTACCATGGCACAATCTTGGCTCACTGCAACCTCCGCCTCCTGGGTTCAAGCGATTCTCCTGCCTCAGCCTCCTGAGTAGCTGGGACTACAGGTGCACGCCACCACACCCAGCTAATTTTTGTATTTTTTGTAGAGACGGGGTTTCACCATGCTGGCCAGGATGGTCTCCATCTCTTGACCTCGTGATCCACCCGCCTTGGCCTCCCAGAGTGCCAGGATTACAGGCATGAGCCACTGCGCCCAGCCCATCTTAACCATTTTTAAGTGTACAGTTCAGTAGAGTACTAAGTGCAGTCCCATTGTTGTGCAACCATCACCAGCATCCATCTCCAAAACTCTTTTCATCTCACATAACTGAGACTCAATACCCATTCAGCAATATCTCCCTATTCCTCTCTCCCTCTAGCTCCTGGCAACTACTATTTTACTTTGTCTTTATGAATCTTACCACTCTGGATTCTTTACTATAAATGGAATTGAAGTGTTCATCCCACTTTTGTGTGTGTGTGTGTTTTTGAGACAGAGTCTTGCTCTGTCACCCAGGCTGGAGTGCAGTGGCCGGATCTCAGCTCACTGCAAGCTCCGCCTCCCAGGTTTACACCATTCTCCTTCCTCAGCCTCCCGAGTAGCTGGGACTACAGGCGCCCGCCACCTCGCCCGGCTAGTTTTTTTTTTTTTTTTTTTTTTTGTATTTTTTAGTAGAGACGGGGTTTCCCCGTGTTAGCCAGGATGGTCTCGATCTCCTGACCTCGTGATCCACCCATCTCGGCCTCCCAAAGTGCTAGGATTACAGGCTTGAGCCACTGCGCCCGGCCTCATCCCACTTTTGCCCATGTTTGTTCTCTACATAAGTAGAATCATACAGCTATGTTTTCCCCTGTATCTAGCTTCTTTCCCTCAACGTGCCTGTGGGATTTATCAGTTCATTTACAGAGTTCTACTTTATTCCTCCTCATTAAATAGTACTCTCCTGTGTGAGTATGCCACAATTAATGTATTCTACTGGTGATGGGCATTTGGATAGTTTTCAATGTGGGGTTTTTACCTGTAGTGCTGCTATATTTTTTGGTAAAATATGTGGCTAGAAATGAAATTGCTAGAGCATAGGGTATGCATGTATTCAGCTTTAGTAGATATTCCCATTACTTATTAATACATTCAAGTCACCAAAGAGAAGTGATCATTAATACATGATTTATACAATCTCTTTCATGAAGGAAAGCAATTATGTATTTGGATTCACATGAGGCTCTGGACTCTGCCCAGAAGAGTAAAACTGCCTACCCACTCAACTCCTCCCACCACAAACCCCACACACCAGCTCTATTGAGCTTTCTCTGCTTAGCTGAACACCCCTCTCCTACTCTTTCCTCCCTAGGCCATTGTGGGTGCTGCTTCATTCAACCTGTACCCTCTTTCTACCTGGTTTGATGGCTGTTTGTCTCTCAGACCTCAGCCCCTTTGAGAACTGGTACCAAAGCACAAAGCATGCCTCCTCAAAATGCATGTCTTCGTGAGTCCCTTCTTGTTGGAATGTAAGTCTGAAGATGAGGCGCTGGCATTCTCCCCTTGCCCAGGTCTTGTCACTTGCTACCTCTATTTCTTTATCTTTTAGAAGTTGTCTGCACATGCAGATTAAATTTATTTTGAGCCTCTATTCTGGGTTCCCACTGACATAAAACATGATGCTTAGAATATATACAAATCCAAACCACTTAGATCGGTATCAGCAACCAGGTTCAATCCACTTTCCAATAGTTGTACATAATACCATTTTACTGTTCTAGATGATGTCAAGTCTAAGGACTCACTAGTATTTAATAACACCTAATTCAAACACAGAACAAAAAAACTACCCAGTAGCACATTCCAAAGACTAAGTACAATGGTAGAAAGCACTAAACTCTGAGTTGGTCTTCCATGTTGGACAAAAAAACAATGCTCTGAATCTACAGGGTTTCATTACAGAATGGGAAGAGTAATATGGACTGATGCCATAAAAGTAATTCTAGTTAGCAGTTCCATTTACACTAACAGTAACCTAGATCACCAAGAAATAATCCGAGTAGAAATTGCCATGGCTTAAATGAAATAAAAATGAGAGAACTCATTCAGATCTTTTTCTCCATTAAATGTAAAGTTATATCATGTTCGTGGGTGGGAAGATATAGATATTCAGACATCTTCCATGAGAAAAATGATTTAGTATATGGTACACATTCTCTCAGAATCATAAGTATCCATTAAAACTATAGGAATTAATATGGATATGAAAATGAACAAAGATTAGTGGATTAGAATAGAATGTTAGAAAAAAACTTATTAGGCTTAAGGAAATTTAACATGTGATCTAAAAAATAGTGCCCAAATCAAGGTGGGGGGAAGTTCAAATAGTCAATAAAAGGTTAGAATAGTGGGCTATTAAAAAAAAAAAAAAAAAGACTATCAGATAAGAATGTATTTGACTGCAAGTAACCAAAAAACCAAACTAACAGTGGCCTAATTAAATAGAGATACAATTTCTCATAAATTAGAAGTCTCTGCTAGTATTGGCCCACCTGCTCAATGATATGCTAAGGTGGGTTTGACAGTCTACAGCCCATGGGCCAATCACTGCACTTTTGTACAACTCAAAAATGAAGAATGGTCTTTACCTATTGGTTGGGAAAAAGAATATTTTGTGACAAGTTACATTAAGTTTAAATGTTAAGGCCCATGAATAAAGTTTTATTGGAATACAAAGATGCTCGTTTATATTTCCTCAATGGCCATTTCTATGTGTCAACACCAGAGTTGAGTAGAGAGAGGTTGTATGGCCTACAAAGCCCAAGATATTTACTATCTGGCCCTTTACAGAAAAAACTTGCCAATCCCTGCCCTAAGGCACCCGTACTCTTTCCAGCTTTGTCATCTTTGTTACATTGCCCCCAGTAATGTAGTACTTTATTACTGCAAACCAGGCCCTCAACTCCGAAGCAGAAGCCTTCCTGGAAACCCTGCAGACTCCCACTTACATTTGACCGGCCAGAGATTGGCACTGTCAGGCCTAAACACAAATGGCCTGGGAGCCTCCAGCTCTCCCTGCCCAGAAGTATTAATGTATAAATAAGACCATGAACACGAGAACTACAAGAGGCAGAATGTGTATTATCTTTTTGTGGGGATGACCAAATATGAAACCTAGAACCAATAAAGTCAGAGATTGACTTATCCCTATAATACCCCCATGTAGAAAAGAAACTTAAATATATTTGCTATATTTTGTTATATTAAGAGTTTCTATAAGACAAAAAATGCTTGATCCTTGATAAATTCAAAGAATTCAACTGGCTAATTTGATATGTTCAAATTTTCATTTTTAAAGATGTAACTTAACAATGAAATGTATCCCTTATCAAAAGGACTTGCCCTGTGTGGGGAAAATGGTCTCACAGTTGAGGGAAATGTAAACTGCCATAGTTTTGGGGGAGACCAAATTTCATCTGACATTTTCTTAGCAAGTCTACTTGCATATAAGAATCTATATTCAAAAATGATCACAGCACTGTAATAATGGGTAACTTTAAAATGCCCTCTTTGAATGTCCATCAGTAAGGGAATCAGTTGAATGGGTATAGAACTATTAAATACAAGCTAACGTCCATGGGAAAAAAAGGTGTTAGGATTTTGAAATGTCTCCACAACACCTTGTTAAGGAGCTATAGGATTGTTTTAAAGCTATGTTCATATACAAAGAAAGCAGACTGGCAGGGAACATGTCACACCTGACAGTCACTACCTTTGTTTAGGATTGGGGCTGCAAAGTCAGCTTCTCACGTTGCATACTTTGCTATTAAACTTAAAAGCACAAACCACTTGCATAGATTGGTCAGAACTTCCGTTGCAGAGATATAAAGGAATCTAAAAAGACAGAAGTTAGTTCATCCTTATTTCATGAAACCTACTACACAGCCAAGACCGAGCTTGGGAAAGTCTAGAGCCAGGGATGGCTCTCTGCCTCCTTTAGGCTCAGCCCTCACCCTGACCATCATTCTACAGGCATACTCGGCAAGGCGCAGGCTAACGTGAACTATGAATGTCCACTGAGAAAGTTGCATTTTAAAATTGTAAATTTAACTGATTTGCTCTTCCTCCCACTAGGACAGATAATATGTTACTAAGGTTCTGAGTGTCATCTAACTTTCAGTTTCTCTTCTGCCTCAAGAAATCTAACAAGTAGTTTTGGTATTAATGTCCGCGTTGGAGTACTTCCTTGTATCTTACTTTGGACCTACATTTTAGAACCTAAAACTAGAAGTCACTGAGTGAGTGCTATGACTGAATATTGGTTTCAAAGTGCATTGCGTTGCTTCTTTCCTGTGATCCTTGACAATAGGATTTGAAACTCAACATCTATCTACTCATTCTGATTCAGAGGCTCAAGGGTATTAAGTAATAGATATCCAACATAAGAGACCCACAACAATGGTACTGTAGTTTTATTAAAGATAGTAGAAAAACTAATATCATCAAGTTCCTTAAATGATAGTGAGACAAACTTTCCATGAGGCCAGAGGCCCCCTCCATCAGTCAAGCGACAACCTGCGCTCTCAAGCTCCCATCTGACACCAGGTTGTGAAGGCTTCGGGGCCCTTTACCCATGACTAGCCCATGACAGAATGCTTTCTTGCACAGAGTCCTTGCTCACTCTAAAGAGGCCAGGAGTGTTAGGTGAGGAGGAACGTACATGCTGAGGTCAGTTCTGGACCAGCCCCATGCCAATTGTACAGAGAAGGACGATAGCAGCTGAAAAGCTCAGAAGAGTCCGAAGCCAGCTTAACACCGGTAACAATTTTACCCCTACCCCAAGAGCTGACATGCGTCCAATTCCAGTTCCTCTTTCCCCACCTAAATGACCCCAGAGGTGGCACTAAGCCCAGCCCAGTCACAATCTAGGACAGCAACAGTCAGACATCACAATGGGCCCAGCTTCCCAGTAGTAGGAGTGACTGAGAACAGCACTAGGGGTCCCCTGCCCACATCAAAGAGAAGCATCTAAGAGGGGTTACTGCCATAATGCCATCCTTCTTGCTGCGCTTTGAGAAACAAACCAAATCCCACCTCCCTTCAAAGAGCTCTAGTTGCTACGAAAACTAATCCCACCCCCTACTAGAGTCCTGAGACTTAGATGGCCCTGAGGCCAGTAGAAGGCTTTGGGGTATCTCAAGAGCAGCCACACTTCTCCACCAAGGAAGTGTTCACATAGTGCACACTCATCTTGTGTTCGTCATCCTGGACCATCAGGGAGAAGAGTCTGACCCTGGTGGGATGGCAGGTCTGGAAGAGCCGGGGACAGGTAGGTACTCCCCTCTGCAGAAACAAATGGCAGAACGGTGAGTGCCTCATAGCCACAGCCTCATACCTAAGGGCATCGGTAGACTTGTCAGGGATAGATGGGAAGGGGGGAGGAGGAGGGCCTGGGGAGAAGCTGCTGGATCAGGGCTGTTTCAGAACAATCTTTAGGAAGCTGTTGTTTCTTATGCAAAGATAAGGGATAAGGTCACAGTGCGGGAAAGATGCTACACACTGCATCAGTGCTGGATTACATAATTGCCAAGTTCAGTGGCTTCCTTGACTCAAAAGGAGCCAGGCCTAGAGAGTTGAGCACTTAGTGCTTTCCCAATATGACCCCAGAAGAGAAAGAACAAGGTTCCATGTTTTACCTTATAGCACTCAAAGCTGGAATGACGGAGCTCACTGTTGAGGGCCAGGCAGGTCCCCTGGCAGTAAGGGAAGCTAAGAGTCTTGGGTGCAACAATACACTCGCCCCAGGCAGCTCTGTGAAGGTTCACCTTGCGATCCTGCAGATGGCAGAGCTTCTCTACAGGAAATGTATTCTGGCCATCGCCTATCTCCCAGTGATTCTGGCATGGGGTGCCCAGGATCAGCTGCTCCACATTAGGGATAAAGGGTTTCTGGACGTAAGGCAGGTGAAACAGAGATGGCTGTGTGTGGGACGAGGTCACGAACAGCAACACTACATCTCGTTTCCTTTCGATGCTGGAACACTTGTTCAGGCTGGCGTCAGCAACATCAGTGGCTGGAATCTTTGTCTCTGCCAAGAGGGTGGGCACCACCTCCATCCAATATGTGAGTAAACAGTAGATCTCCAATAATGACCCTCCCTCTGACTGGTAGGATGAAAAGATAATGGGGAAAGATCCCAACAGGAATCTTTGGAGGCCCCTTTGATGGTCCTCGAACTCTAGAACAAGCTCAGTGGCATGGGGGACAATGGGCACCCAAGCCCACAGGTTTATCAAGGAAACCCCCAAGAAGGGAACTGCCTCAAAACAGAGGAGCCAGTAGCTGTGTAGGAACTGTGAGCCTGTAGGGAAAGAAGAGGGGAAGCTCCAGGAGGCCGCTATCATGGAAAGTCCCACCTCCCTTTCGGCTTCTTACTCCCCACTACCCAGCCTTGCAGGATAGGACAAAGATTTAGCAGTCTCAGCTTGTCAAAGCCAGTGCTTAGTCCACAGCAGCCAGGAATGGGCTGAGGTTTCTCAACTCCCATCACCCTACCCCTAGAATTAAGTCAGACTGACTGCCCTAGTACTGAAAACCATTCCAGTCACCATGACCTAAGACAAGCCACTTGCCCTGTTGTATGTCCTAAAACACTGTAGTTGCCCAGCCCACCAGCTGTGTACTTCACACTTTGGAGCATCCTTACACAGAGAACTTTAGGGCATCAGCCATAAAGCTTAAAGACATCCTACGTACCAGGCCTGCAGAGCTGAAACCAGGAAGCAGATTCCTCTTCTGCTAGACCAGCTGAGGAGTATTCTGTCCCCAGCTCCTTGCTCTACTCACAAGAGCCCTAAATATCTGTTGTCATTTACACCCTATTCCCCGACCAGTCCCTCAAAATGCTGCCAGGCAGCTTTTGGATCACTCCTTCCCTGGCAAAGACCAGAGCTCCAGATACTTACTTTTGAATGTGAGGGTAAAACCATGTTGCCTGGCAGAAAAGATCTCATTTATGTGGGAAGGCAGCATTGGGTTGCGACAGCCAAATGTCTCTACCGAGCTCAAACACATGCACCAAAGACCCAGAGCCAAGAGCCCAGGAATGAGCCAGGAGCTGCCACTTCTCCCACCGCCACCCTCCATCGTACCTGCTCTTAGAAGCGGGGCTTCACCTTCACTGTCTTTAAATATCCATCTGGCCAGGTGTAGTCCCTATTCTAACCCCCAGAGCTTGGGGCTGATCATGCATTCAAGAGAAATTAAATTCAGATGAGAGAAACTCCCACTCCCAGAACAACTTCAATACCTACTCCTGCTTACAGAGTGAAGGTGCAAGAAGTGATAATACAGATTGTGTTTCTCAAACGCAACCTTGAAAACACAAGTACATAATTAGTGAATAGATGCACTTATATGGAAGACATGCTCTGACAGACTGTGTCGGTCCAAATGCTGGAAACAAGGACAGGTATGCACAGTTTGCAAGTTACAAACACTCCATTTAACTCACCTTTGTGTTCTTAGACTTTAGCTAACATCAGAATCACCTAGAGCATTTGTTAAGACATAGATTGCTAGGCCCCATTCCCAGAGTTTCTGATTCAGTAGGTCTTGAATGAGGTCCAAGAATTTACCACTCTAGCAAGTTGCCAGGTGATGCTGATAATGCTGGTTCTGAGACCGCTTTGAAAATCACTCATCCACATTATTTATACCATAACTAGTACATAGAAGATGCCCAATAAGTGTATTTTGATTCATTGATAATATGCTATACCTAGTGTGTTTGTGGCTCTGAAATTTTTTTAAACAGAAACAAACAAACAGCAACAACAACAACAAAAAACTCCTTCAGAGGCCGGGCGCGGTGGCTCAAGCCTGTAATCCCAGCACTTTGGGAGGCCGAGACGGGTGGATCACGACGTCAGGAGATCGAGACCATCCTGGCTAACACGGTGAAACCCCGTCTCTACTAAAAAATACAAAAAAAAAAAAAAACTAGCCGGGCGAGGTGGCGGGCGCCTGTAGTCCCAGCTACTCGGGAGGCTGAGGCAGGAGAATGGCGTGAACCCGGGAGGCGGAGCTTGCAGTGAGCTGAGATCCGGCCACTGCACTCCAGCCTGGGTGACAGAGCGAGACTCTGTCTCAAAAAAAAAAAAAAAAACTCCTTCAGGTTTAAAGGATGAAATTCACTAAATCTGAAAATACCAGATTCTTATGTGGGAATTACCCACATAAGAAAAGCAATATTTGGGATTCATGCTCCCATCATTCTTTTGTTTTCTTTTCAGAGAGTACAAATCAAGATCTTCAAAAAATAACAGACATAAGAAGCCAATATAGTCTTCTTCATGTTTCCTAACACTTAACAAATTATTATGAGCATATTATATATATAGTGTAGGAATAATCTGTCAATTAAACATACAGAGTAAGGCATCCTTCATTAACAAATTAACCTGCATTTTATAATATTTGCTTTTCTTAAAAGACCAAATCACATTGACACATACAATAAAAGTTTAGTTTCTCCACTTTGAGAGGCCAAGGTGGGCAGATCACGAGGTCAGGAGTTCAAGACCAGCCTGACCAACATGGTGAAACCCCGTCTCTGCTAAAAATACAAAAATTAGCCAGGTGTGGTGGTGTGCACCAGTAATCCCTGCTACTCAGGAGGCTGAGACAGGAGAAGTGCTTGAGCCCCAGAGGCAGAGGCTGCAGTGAGCTGAGATTGCGCTACTGCACTCCTGCCTAGGCGACAGAGTGAGACTCCGTCTGAAAAAAAAAAAAAAAAAGTTTAGTTTCTCTAAACTTGAGGTTCATTTATTCTCATTAAGAAATTCAATGTCCCAAATTATGTAAATAAGTATACCATAAGTAATGGTAATCAGTACAGTCCATCTTTAGAAAGCTTCTGTGTAAATTCATTAGCTAATGTTAGTGAAACAAGCTGATGAGGTAGGTGTGATTATCCTTGGATGGGGAACATCCAAGGATGGGGAAACTGAGGAAAAAGTAGATAATGACCTGCCCACAGCAGGGCTGAGTCAGCTCTCCTTGCAGAGTAGATTCTATGTTAAGACAATTCCTTTGGATTTTTGTTCCTTAAAAATGAAGAAATACAAAACAAAAGCAAAGGACAAAATAATTCAATTTAGAAAAACAAGCTTTGGTAAAAGGAAAAGGAAAAGAAATAGTTTTTTTTTTTTAAGTTGAGAATAGAATTCTAAAAGCTAATAATTTGTGTGCCTAAAGTTCCCATTAATTATCCCTATCTTGTCTGTGTTATTTTTCTAATCAATGAGAGGTTGATGATAACTCTCTTTTGAGCTTATATTCTTTGCTTTTTAATGAGCAGATTCTTATGGAACCCCAATTAAATATGTAGTGAGCTTATGGAATTTCTAGCAAATGTGGCTTTCCTTTTTGTTTAGATAAATTAATCTCCAAATTCTCAGCAAGAGGAAAGGAGGCAGCTCCCATTTAATCCCCAGGCCTTCTCTAAATGGCTTCAAGTGTAAATGTGTTAAGTAAAATCCTTCATGAATTTGTAAATTGCTTTAAATAAAACCCTTCAATAATAATCTTGGATGGGAAACTTGTTTTACTAATTTATAGCTAAGCAGCTGTTGTTTTGTTAGCATCTTCAGCTTCATTTACACAAGAAAATCTGAAAATGAATCATGCAGACAGGAGAGACCAGATTGCAGTCTATGGTAAACGTTTTTGTATGCTTGTCTCATAGGATGTTGAAAAGTAAACACCACAAAAGACCATTTATCAACTATCACACTGGAGAAAATGTTGGCCAATGATATGTTCAGCTTATATTTCAAGAGATTTATATTTCATGTGTCATTGCCAAGCTGCAGCTGAGTGAGTATGATGAAAATACATGCTAGCAAAATATGAGCCAACTTATCTGAGGCCCTGCAAAACCTATCAAGTGCCTCATCAGGGAAGAAGGAAGCATTGACTGCTCAAGTCATTGACTCTAGTATGCCTGTAGCCTCACCATTCAGCTCTGTCCATTTAGATGTGGTAAGAATCAGAAGCAGATGAAAAGTATATAGTTGATAATATGCTCAGTGTCTTCTTGGACTTGGGATAATATACATAAAGGTGCTTTATAAACTATAAATTGCAAGTCCTGTCTGTGGATAGGGTATCACATATTTATTTAATGCACATATTTATTTAAATAATCTTTAAGTTTTTGGTTGAGGGCCCTAACAGTAGAAAAAAAATAGAATAACATTTATGTATGCTAATATACATATATATTAATGAGATGCACATATATATACATATAAGATACACAAAAATGGAGATTGAAAAAGGATATGAAAATTAAATAGGAATTCATTTTCTAGTATTTCTACTATTTTTTTACTGCTCCCAGCAGATCATCTTGGGAGACTACTCTTTAATGGATAAGTTCATTTTGAAAAGTAGGGGTGATAATTATAATTAACATTTACATAGTGTATGTAAATACTGCTAAATATTACTAATTCCAGTGCTTTACATGTATTACCTAGTTTTATCTTGGTATCAGCCTTATGCAACAGGTATAATTATTATCTCCACTTCACAGATGATGAAATTGAGGTACAGACTGATCACCTAACTTGTCCATGGCCACACAATTACCAAGTATCAGGGATAGGATTTAAACCTAGGCAGTCTAGAGCTAGACTCTAGCTCATCTAAAACCTGAAGGCCTGGCAAGGTATCATCATACTAATCAGTAAGTAATCGGGATGCCTATGCATTAGCTTCTATAATACCTGCATAATGGCATGTATCTTACCATATTGTAATCGTTGCTTTGAATACTTGTCTCCCCTGCTAGACTGAAAATTCCTTTAGAACAAGGACTGAAGTAGTTTTGTATTTACATAACAGTAAATACACACAATTGAGCACAGTGCCTGGTACGTAAAAAGTATATGGTAGGCACTTGTTGGATGGATAGCTGGATGAAAGAAAAAACGATTTTTAAAAATGGATGGATGGATAGATGGATTTATCCCAACTTACTAGATAGCCATTGGAATATGAATGTCCTTGAAATAGGGATGAAAATCTCACCTGCCAATAAAAATATTCACAGACTTGCTGGGCGCGGTGGCTCATGCCTGTAATCCCAGCACTTTGGGAGGCCAAGACAGGCGGATCATAAGGTCAGGAGATCGAGGCCATCCTGGCTAACACGGTGAAACCCCGTCTCTACTAAAAATACAAAAAAAAATTAGCTGGGCGTGGCGGCGAGTGTCTGTAGTCCCAGTTACTTGGGAGGCTGAGGCAGGAGAATGGCATGAACCCAGGAGGCTGAGCTTGCAGTGAACCGAGATTGCGCTACTACACTCCAGCCTGGGTGACAGAGCGAGACTCTGTCTCCAAAAAATAAAAATAAATTCACAGACTTTCTTCTTAATGAGATAATGCTCTGTTGCTAACCAACGTATAGAAAAAAAAATTATCTCTGATGTTATCCAAGCCTTTTCAGGGAGGAAATACTATCCCACTCATGAGCATTTCAAACCCCGCAGAAACCAAAAAAGATGAAAAAGAAAGGAATGTTGTTTATGGAAATAATATGTCTTGTCAGGAATTCGTGTTTTATCTCATAAAAAGAACAAAACAAAAAGAGAATCTGCCTTATGCTCTGGCATCAACAGGAAACCTGGTTCATTACAAATGTGGCCTGGATACCTCCAGGGGAAAAAAAAGATGAGTGAATGAATGAATGAATAATAGATTTGCCTTTTCTGAAGTGGAATCCAGGTTTTAATCCAGTCTTAATCCACTGTATGTGGTAACAGTTGCATTAATAATATGCTTTGTCACAACACAAACTACCCAGACTGTTTGACATTTATACTCAAACCAAGAGTCCATGTTTTATGCATTTTAAGTGGCACAAATCAGCACTGAGATATCGGAACTAAACCTTGAAAAGTTTCCTTCTATATTTGAAGCTGGAAAAACTTCAAGGCACTTTAATTCAAATACACATTCTATTAAAACGTGAGTATCTTGCTTGAGCCCAGGAGGTGGAGGTTGCAGTGAGCAGAGATCATGCCACTGCACTCCAGCACTCCAGCCTGGGCAATAGAGCAAAACTTTGTCTAAAAAAAAAAAAAAAAAAAAAAAAAAAAAAGCGTATATCTTTCATACCAATTACTTCTGTATTTAGTGTAGCTTAAGATACAAAAGCCTCTGAATCAAAACAGTGACTGCAAGATTGCTTTTACAAATCTAATGATGTACTTAATGTAATGTGATAGGTTCCATCTAAATAATGTATAATTTTGTCTGTTTTCCATTGCTTTATATTCTTTCAAATGGAAAACAGTTCTATAGAAGTCAAATTCTGGACTTCCTTTGTTATATTTCAGCTGATTAGTGTTGTTCTTTGGGGCTTTCTTTTAGCAATCAGATACAATTACCATTGTTCTATAACATTGACTACCAAACTTGTTATTTCACTCTGAGAGCTGTGCCTGTCTTGTCTTTATTTTTCTCTCTTCAGGATAATACCCACTGTAGTGTCCATAAATCTTTACTGAAGGGATTCACTATTAAACTACCTAGCAAAGTTAGTATTCTTTAAAGATATTGTTTGTTTTAACAAGTAGATAGGAGAGCAGAGTTCTGCCATGTTAAGTGTAGTTAAGAGGACCCTCAACACAGCAGGGGATCACCTAAGAGCATCTTAGAAATGCAGAATCTCAGAACTTTCGGACTTTAATGTGCATTTGAACCAGCTGAGGATGTTAAAAAGCAGCTGATTCAGGAGGTCTGGGTTGGGGCCTGAGATTCTGCAGTTTGATGAGCTCACAGGTGATGCCTATATAGCTAGTCCTTGAGCCACCTCCTGAGTAGCAAGACCTAGGGAAGGAGCCCATTATGATATTGCACTTGCCACGTATCTAACTAAAACAAAGAGATTTAATAAGATAAGTAGTTAATAAATATTTACTTAGCACAGTCTGTGACTAATCCTTTTATGATTGAATTATTTGACTTTAGATAGCTCATAAGACTTTTCTGCTTATTATCCTTTTCTGTTTAATGAAGGTAGTACTTCAATTTGTTTTCTGATAATGTTTATATTCCATCCTTGTATTCATTTTATGCATTCTATATGTCATATTACTAAAGCCAGACAACTGTCATTTGAAATAATTATTTTTAAGAGACAGAACCAAATGCATAAAGATATAATTTTCAAGTAAAAAAAAGGTGTTTTTTAAAAAAATTTAAATCTTGTTATGATTTAATGCTAGTTACATATTGTAGGAACCAAAACCAAGTAAAGAAATCACAGCAGTCTCCAATTATTATTATTATTATTATTATTATTATTTTTGAGACAGAGTCTCACTCTGTCACCCAGGCTGGCGTGCAATGGCACAACTCAGCTCACCACAACCTCTGCCTCCCAGGTTCAAGCGATTCTCCTGCCTCAGCCTCCGGAATAGCTGGGACTGCAAGTGCGTGCCACCACGCCCGGCTAATTTTTGTATTTTTAGTAGAGATGGGGTTTCACCATGTTGGTCAGGCTGCTCTCGAACTCCTGACCTTGTGATCTGCCCTACCTCAGCCTCCCAAAGTTCTGGGATTACAGTGTGCGCCACCGCGCCCGGCCAGCAGTCTCCAATTCTAACTCGTTAGTACAAACCTTGGAAAATCACCTAATTAATTTCCTCACCAGGCTCTTCATCTATAAAATAGGCTTAAATTTCAGTTTCCTCAAGGCATTGATGTCAAGAGATACTAACAAAACATGTTGCCTCCTCTATATAAGTGGTTATGAAAGTATGGTCCTAGGACAAGCAGCATCAGCATCCCTGGGAATTTATTGGAGAAACAAATTCTTAGACCACACCCAAGCCCAAGACCTACTGAATCAAAAACTTGGGGTGGAGCCAAGAAATCTACATTTTTTAACAAGTCCTCAGGTGACTCTGATGTATGTTACAAAGTTAGAACCACTGCAGCCTCTATAGAGCATAGTAACGATAACCCTCAATCAGTGGAGGCAGGGGTATACTATTCTAACTGGCGATCCATATGGAACAGTAAATTAGGCCGTATTAAGTCAGGAACAATAAATTAGGGCGTACCTCACAACATTACACGTTTAAATCTATGCTGATTGAAAATATAAGTATAGATAGGGCCAGGCGCAGTGGCTCATGCCTGTAATCCCAACACTTTGGGAGACCAAGGCGGGCGGATCACTTGAGGTCAGGAGTTGGAGACAAGCCTGGCCAACATGGTGGAACCCCATCTCTACTAAAAATACAAAAATTAGCCAGGCATGATGGCGGGTGCCTGTCATCCCAGCTACTCAGGATGCTGAGGCACCAGAATCGTTTGAACCTGGGAAGCAGAGATTACAGTGAGCCGAGATTGTACCACTGCACTCCAGCCTGAGTGACAGAGCGAGACTCTGTCTCAAAAAAAAAAAAAAAAAAAAGATACATAAATATAAATAATAAACTTAAAACATTTGCACTAAAATTAAGTGTCTAGGCAACAAGAGACATCACACAAAAAATTAAAAGACAAA